GGACAGCATGGAGAGGGTCCAGAGGAGGGCCACTCGCATGATCAGGGGACAGCAGGGCAGGCCCTACGAGAAGAGGCTATGGGACCTGAACCTGTTCAGCCTCCATAAGAGAAGGCTGAGGGGGGATCTTGTGGCCTGTTATAAACTAGTCAGGGGGGATCAGAAGGCATTGGGGGAGTCCCTGTTCCCCCGAGCACTGCCAGGAGTGACCAGGAATAACGGTCACAAGCTGGCAGAGGGTAGGTTTAGGTTGGACATCAGGAGGCGCTATTTCATGGTCAGGGCGGCTACGGTCTGGAACCAACTTCCAAGAGAGGTGGTGCAGGCTCCTACCCTGGGGGTTTTTAAGAGGGGGTTAGATGAACACCTTGCTGGGGTTGTTTGACCCCAGTACTCTTTCCTGCCATGGCAGGGGGTCGGACTAGATGATCTGCTCAGGTTCCTTCCAACCCTAGAAACTATGAAACTATCACCAAATAAGCACCTTTACTAGCTAGAGGCATGGAGTTCTTGTATTTCCTTACCTGTTCTTTTTGTTTCTCATGTCTTATGTAAACCTTTCTCTATCAATGAGGTCCAAAATAAGATAAAACAGAGTAAAATATATTTGAAAAGAGTGACCAGTGATGTATTGGAACAATTTTGTTCATCTTTTCCTAAAATATTAATAAACTAAACTGCATGAGCATTCACGACACTGTTTAAATAAAAGTTAAAACATAAAAAAAGACAGCATGCAAATATTAACAGCACATCATGGTTAACTGTTGAAACTTCACCTTTCTTGAGGTCTATCTTTATTCTCTTTGCATGCTTTTTGTTGCCAAATCCCAGCAGCGGAGACAGTGATGGTGAGGATGATTTCCTTCCCAACCTTGGCAAGTTAGGACTTTTGGTTTGTTGTAGTGTTGCCTGTACACATGTGTCCAGGCTGTTCATACCAGAGAGATCAACTGTTTTCATAGCTGGTTTTGGATGAACAGGTGGTGGAACTTTTGTTTTTGGAACTCCTTCCTCAGTATCAACCAAACAAAGAGGAGCAATGACAGATTTCTCATATGCCTCACGGTTATATGGAGGAATCACTTCCAAGATGACACTTTGAGATTTCATTGCCTGGCGGAAGATATCCTGAGCCCTTTAAAAGAAAAGCATGAAAAACAGACACATCAAAACTAGAAAATCTGGGTTATATTCAGGGATGTCTCTCTGCATCCTTGAAAGTATCTAATTCTTTATGAACAAAATTTAGGATTGAACTATTAAATTTCAATATACAATGGCCCTTGTTCACCAGTGGGCATGCCATAAGATGCAAGAGGCTGCTATGAAAAGATGTTTATTACAAACACTTAAGCCAGAGTAAATACAAGGCATTCTTTGTGAGAAGGAGTAGGAAAGGAATCCTAAAGAGAAGGCTAGGAAAAACATTACCACACAGTAATTGTGGTTCTTCGGGTATTTGTTCACGTATTTTTTTATATACACATGCACACATTTTTATATCACACACACACACACACACACACACACACACACACACACACAGAGTACATGCACACATACATATACATACATACCGATTACACAAACTACACACACACACATATATACATACATACAAATTACACACACACACAAATTACACATACACATGTATAAACCTATGCATTTGGTATAGACATGGACTATATTAGGGTGAGCAAAATACGACCTGCGGGCCATATCCGGCCCTCAGAGGGGCTTTGTCTGGCCCATGGCAGGTCTCTTGGTCCTGCCTGGTCCAGGCATTGCCCCATGGTGGTACATCCTGCCGCCCCCTTGACACACAGTGGGGCTGAGGCAACTCTGTGCTGGACAGCCCAGGGTAGCCCACTGTGGGCTCTAGACAGCTGCTGAAGGAAGTGCAGGGCATCACTGAGGGGGAGGGGCTACTTTTGCCCCATGCCAAGCACATTTCTGCCCCACTGATGCTGCTGCTGCTTCAGCTGTTCAGTGTGAACAGGTGGGTCTGCAGCAGGCACAGGGCAGGGTGGGGCTGCACATGGATCACTGCCAATACTGTGGGGTTGGGGCCAGCAGCTGCCTAGAAAGACAGTACAGCATGGAGCTGCACCTGCCCTGCTGCATGCCCAGGGGTTGGAAGGATGAGTCACAGGTGGGTGGTGCAGAGCAGGCGTGGGGCCTGGGTCAGGGCTGTGCATGCATCTGGCTGATCCACTCCTGCCGGGGTCAGTCTGGAGCAGATTTGGGGCACACTGGAGCTGTGTGCTGTTGGTAGCGGTGGGGAGGTGCGGCAGGGCATGGAGGCTCTAGGCTGTTGCTGAGCAGGGACTCCCATGCATACCCTACCATACCTACAAGCCCTGCCCCGCAAACTCCACAACCCGACTCTCCCCCATGCACAATCACATACCCCACAAACATCACACCCCTCCACCCCTCCCCACATCCCACCCCCATGGGTCTCTGGGGAGAACCCCACTCACTACTACCCACATACACCCCAGCACATCCACGCACACACCGCCAGCCAGCCTCACCCTCTACACATCCACATCCTGTAGCCCCGACCCCCTGCTCCCCGGCAGGAAAGGAGCTGGTGCTGAGCATGGGGAAAAGTGGCCCCTTGCCCACCCTGTGGCCGGCACTCCCTGCTACAGCCACTCGCAGCCCGTGCAGGGCTGTTCTGAGTAGGCACAGGCAGCCCCAGGCAGGCTGTGAGCAGCTGCAGCATGGAGCGCTGGCCACGGGGCAGGGTAGGGGCTGCTTTTCCCCATGCTCAGCACCAGGTTGTAACCTGCCCCTGCTGCCAGCCTGGGCCCTGTGCTGGCTCCAGGCTCGCCTGTCTGGGCTGCTCCACAGTCAGAGCAGCTGCAGTCCCCCCTCTTGCCGTGCTGGGCAGTGTTTGCCACCACCCCCTTTGGGCTGCCCAGCACACAAGCTCCGGAAGGGCAGCAGCAGCGAACACTGCCTGGTGCAGCTTCCGGGGGGGTCACAGATGCTGTTGCTGTGGCACAGCCCCAACGGGTGAGCCCAGAGCTGGTGTGGGGCCCAGGCTGGCTGCGGGGCTGGGTTACAAGCTGGTGCTGTGTGTGGAGGAAAAGCAGCCCCTCACCCGCCACCTGCCACTGCAGCCACTCACAGCCCACTTGGAGCAGCCTGTGCCTGCTCAGAACAGCCCCACGTGGGCTGCAAGCAGCTGCAGCAGGGAGCACGGGCCATGAGGCGGGTGAGGGGCTGCTTTTCCCTGGGCTCCTTCCCTGCCCAGAGTCCTCCCCTGCCCTTCCCCGCCCACTTACCTGAGGTTCCGGCATAATGCAGCCACATGTTCCCAGGGGGACAGGGCTGAGCAGGCCCTGCTGTTGCAGGAGCCCATCAGGCTTCCCCTGGGTCCTACTGTCCCTGGTTCCTGTCATTTTTGACAGAAACCAAGGACAGATAAATTTTTATTTTCTAAATTTTTTAGGGGCCCTGTGGGCCAGATAGAATGGCCTTGTGGGCCAGATCTGGCCTGCAGGCTGTATTTTGCCTACCCCTACTCTACACCCTCCCCTCCCGCCCCCTGCAATATATAAGAGTAAGACTTCATTTTGAGTTATTATGCGATCACCTCTATATACATGATGCAAGCACACAAATCAGGACAAAAATCTTTTAAAAATAAAATTACAACAGGTTATTGTGGATTGTAGATTTTTAGTATTTTTTTTTCTGGTTCCAAGATGGCAAACCCCCTTCCCAAAAGGAGTACTTCTGAGGCAAGGACAGGGACTTTTGGTGACAAAGGTCAGAGGTTACAGGGAGGGACTTCTTGTACGAAGATGGTGACTGAGGGGCACAGCACCTGTCAAGGAGCAGGGCTACCCTTGAGGCCCTCAACCCTCACCCAAACTCATGAAGTGGCCCTCCAGCCAAAATAACTGCCCATCCTTGGAATATATGGATCATACTTCTCAAAAAAAATAGGTAACATAAATCACATAAGAGTTTCTTCTTGAATTACTCATCAAAAGATATAAATAAACCTTTTTATGTATAACACAGATGGTGACTCATTTGCTAGAGATAGTTACTAGGAATCTACTTAAACAATTACCATAAAAGCACCCTGCACATGTTCAAATCAGTTTCAATAGCTCAGTGTTAGAATGGAAAAACAATAGCTGCCTTACAAATGTCCATGACAGGTTGTTTCTTAGAGGGGCTATTGAGGTACTTAGAGCTCTGAAAATGGGCTAAGATTCATAACAGTAAGAATATTCCAGGCAGTCCATAACACAATTTAATAACCAACTTTGGAGTCTTTCAGCCGAAACCTGATCCTAATCCTTCTGTCCATATGATATCAATAACCTAGGAAAAACTCTGAAGTGCTTCATTTCTGTCCATCTACATAAACAAGAATGTGGTCCAAAGCACATAAATGTTCTCTTATTGAGAAGTAGGCCCTAGAAACTGGCCATCAAGGGCATAAGAAAATATAGAATCTCTATGAACAGATATCATTACATGCACACAATGAGAGCACAGATAGACCTGATTTATTTCATTTCAGCAGCTATTCTGAAGTATCTACGGCATTTATACATATACATGCACCACTGCACCAGGCGCTTTAAAAACCACCCGGCATTTCCTCACATGCATTTCTATAAATGGCAAAATGTGCGTTAGCGCTAAGAAAATGGTGGCGGCACGCTTTTGAACTAAAACATGTTGAAGGTGTTTTAGTTCAAAAGTGCACTGCCACCATTTTCTGCTTGCTGACATGCATTTCGCCATTTATACAAATGCACATGATGCAATACTGGGCACATCAGCTCGTGTGCTCCTCTGCTCTGATGCGCTGGATTTCTGGTGTGTTGGAGCAGACAAAGTTATGTGTATATATGCCCTAGGACATTATCCCTGAAAGAAGACAATTTATGGTCATGGATCATTATTTTGCCAATTACCCTTTATCTGGCAGAGTTTTTTCTGCTATAGTTGAGGATGTTTTGGATCTCTGACAAACATGATTTTTCAAATGTCGCCAGTCATTATGCATCCAAAGCTGTGAGGTGGAGAGTATGAGGATCAGGATGCTGGCCTTGTCCATGGTTTTGTAATACTCTGTTTGGAAGCAGTGCAAAGTAACAGAGTTGGCCACAGAAGGTTTGGAAATTTTAGGACCAAAATTCCCCTGGTGAGGGCAAGGCCATCATGTCATTTTTTTAGTGCTTCTTCACTGAGCTTCCTGGGGATTCTTGGTATTAACAGAATCAAAGGGAATCCATGGCGAAAGAGCAAAAAGCATGAAATAAGGAATGCATTATGGCAGAAGGTTTCTCATCTTCTCCGGAGAAAGAGGAATGACAGTTCCTGTTTTCCTTGGCAAAAAATAGGTCCAAAGCAGTGAAACTCCACTTGAGAAATAGCAAACAAATACTTTTGTCATTTGGAGACCATTTGTGGTTTTTTTATAAAGTTCCTACTGAGACAATCTGTCAGTATATTATGGATTCCTAGAAGGTGAATCACTTTTTGGGGGATTTGGTGACATTAAAAAGTGTCAGTTATACTACCACTTAAAGCAGTGTGGATATTGCTTTTCCCTGTACATTCACATTGCACATACTGCTACTGTTGTCTACCAAGGCTTATGCAATCAGGAATGGAAACTAGGCCCCCTCTACATATTACATGCATCAGACAATTAGCAGGTTAACTGCACAATTTGTTAAGACTGAATTACCAGGTTAACTGTGCAATTCGTTTAGACTGCCTACACTTGCAAATTAACTATCATGCCATAAAAAGGTCCAACCAGCTATACAGTTAGAGTGGGAAAATGTGTACTAACTTAACAGCTGGTTTCTATCCAGCTTTAATTTGCATGTGTAGCATAGCTACATCCCCACAGCTGGGAGCCTCATCACCTGACAGGACTCCCATCTGCAGCAGGAGCCTGAGATCACAATTCGGGGCTCCCCCTATACCGACTATAATGCATGCTAGGATCTGATGCTGGAACCCCAACTCTGCCTCCTGCCATGCATGTGTGGATCACATATTAGAGCACATCATGCCTTTACCTAAATGACTAGAGTGCCCTAATCAACAAGCTGAGCAAGCTTGTTAAATGGCTATTAACTT